AGTGAAGTAAGGGGGTACAAAGACGTGTAGCCGTAAGGTGGCGGCCAAAATGACGTGCCGTTCTGGGTTTGGGGAGGTCTCTTCAACTTTACTTCTTAGCAGTGCGGTTCTTTTCATACTGCACTCCACCCTCGATCGAAAAAAGTGAGGTCTTTGTGTCGTTCTTTGTGTTATGTCCTCAAAAACCTGCACCTCGGTTTCTCTCCCTTTTTTTTTTTGTACGTGATCGCATCATTCGTGTACTCAATTATGAGCCATTCGCAATCACCACGAACAATTTAACCGCATTGAATATGTGTAGCCGCTAGCAAGAAGGCTTATACGCGAAACCGTGTGTTTAAGACTAGGAAATAATGCCACAAGAACTGTGGTCCTCCGCTCTCTACCTTGTCACATCTGACCTTTACACACAACGTACGAACAGATACATAGAAAGCAGATCCTTTTTTAGAGACCTCATTACATATATGCTGATATGTCTCACATATAAAACTTTGACAAACCCTTCGCTATTAGCTAGATTTTGTACATACGTATATACCATTAACTGCTCCTTCTAACTAATTTAAACGCTTGTTTTCATTCTGGTTCTCTTATCTAAAAAGATAGCAACCCTAAATTGTCGTTCGCCCCCAGCGGATTCATTTTTAGCTTCTAGTGCCCTTAGTATAAAAATATTCAAGCGCTCTGTTAAATCCTGTGCAGCACTGAATATAATGGCAATATGTTCGCACTGGTGGTGTACGCATACGATTTAAACTATTTGGAATCAATTATAGTTACAACATTCTTTTACGCATAAGTTACTGGCATCATCTCAGCCGCATCGATAGTTGTAATATACATATAACATAAAGGATAGATCTAGTAAGGTCAACAAGATCGCGCTACAAGCTTAATGCTAACTTGTTGTTGAATTTGTAGACTGTTAGCAACAAGTTAACGATCGATTTCGATTAACTTAGAATATGCATATCCTAAGCATCACGTAAACGGTGTGAGAATATCGATCTTGCCAAACAGTATGTGATGGAAATAAGACAACATTACTCTTACTTATAAAAGTTTACATTAAGATATTCAAGTCTTTCGAAAATCTTATTGTTTCAAAGCATATCTATGTTTATGCTTAACTTGCAGACGAAAACATTCCACTGCCAAATATAATTATAAACCAATTTATTGGTTACTAAAACAGACAAAATAGTATGTTTATATTACAGACCCGTGAAGAGCATTGTCATTTCGTCTCCAGTAGAATGCTTGGTAAGTATATTTTTGATTCATGATAAGCATATATTTAATAATACGCATCGTGTCGGCCGCACACCAAACGTTTAGATCAATTTTCGTTTTTCTACTTATCGTTATCGTTGTCGGTAGTAGCATCGGTAGCACCGGACGAATCATTTTCAACGCTATTTCAGCGATTCGCGCATAGATGGCGGACGATATACTGCTACTGATTTGCATTAAATGCAGTTAAAACCGCTCGCTTAGCCGATAGCCGCGTTAACCAGCCTGTTGCCACTATCACCATCACTGACGCTTCTGTTGCGACTGTCGACGGGGTGTTGAGATCATCGCTAACCTGAAAGCTACATACCAGGGGGCCGCTGTTGCATCTCCTAATCCCCCTCGACCTCTGTTTCACTGCCAGCTGGCTCGTATTTTATGTTCCGCCTCTATGTATCGCTTCACCCTCTGCTTACTTTACCTCCCCTCTATGTTTCGTTCTGTGCACAGCCATTATATGCTTTTTTCTGCCCCCCTTTTCGCTGCCTTCCCTGTTTTTCTGCTGCTGATTTCTCCTAAAAATTAAATCTACGCTAACACTTTCTTTACTTTTTCTTAGACACACGTTACTTCTAGGTCCTGTTCCCTGTCTGCCTCGTCATGTAGAGAAGCTCGTCTCGTCCCATCTCCTTCAATGCTGCCGTTATACCATCTGCCGCGGCTACAAAGCCCCGCGAGTCTGCCAGCCGGCTCCCCTCTGTAAGCCTCTTCGATATGTTAAAGCGACCCAAGTCCGAGCAAGATATTTCCGAGCGCCCATTTTCTCTCACAAATGTTGTTTACAGGCATTTTCACATTTCAGACTCTTGTCTGTCCGTGTAGCTGTCTTGGCCACATCTTCCATATATCCTATATTATGCACATGCTCAGAACTAATGAAAGGGACGCCTCTGTTGTCGTTTATGGTCACTGCTTGCTACTGCCTCTATATCACTGAATATGGGTTCGAGGCATCTCACAAATTCCCATATTTGGGTTTCCGGCATCCGCCGACACAGCGTAGTTGCCAGCATTGTATCGCAAAACTGCTTTTCACCCGCCCAGTCGTTCACGCTGAGTTTTCCTTTATTCGCCGCCAATCTGGATAAATTAAGCGGATAGAGCTGCCCATATGTGCCGAATTTAACAGCTTCACGGCCGCCCTTCTTAGAGCTTAGATTCCAGGCTGGTAGACATAAGCGAGAGATACGAAGGGATTGCGCAGTACCGTGAAAGCGTCTTCAACCAGAGGGCATAGAAGCGAGCAGAAAAAAGAACAGCTAACTGGTGACAAACTCACCTTTCTTCTACTGCTTTTAGTCCCATTGTAAGGAGCGGTCATTAAAAACTGCCAAAAGTAAAGGCTGTGATGAATGGCCAGACGTAAAAGCAAGTAAAGGTTTTTGCACGCGCAATTTTCCCTCAATCTTAGATTAATGAGCAAATTGTTCGATTACCTTCATTACGGGGCATTATTTATTAAGACAAGCCAAAGTACCTTAGGGACGTTAATACCCCCAGCACAAGTTGAAGCTTTGCCATTGTTTTCGATACATACAACTTAGTGGTATGCGTTATAGGATAAGTATTGAATTGTGATAGCTTCAAGCCTAATTTGTGCCTACCAGGTTGGGTCAACTTCCGTTCAGTGTGACCAGCAAAGAAAAAGCTTTAATATTAAGAGAATGGTTTGTGATAACATATTTATGATAACACCTCAGGGGAAACTTCGAACTCGTAACACAGTCTATGATCTGTGACAGTTCAGAACGAACATCATACGTATATATTGCACTAAAAGTTAGATTTAACTAGAGAGACGCTGACTAAGCGCACCGTAAATGATCATATTGTAACGCATCTGCCTGTCTATATCGTCCTTTACAATCAGCAAACAAAATAGCTTTCCTTACAGTGATAGTTACAGCAGCGGTAGCACGAATTGCATGTCAAATTAATGGGTAGCAACAGGCTGCCTTTTTGCGCCAGCTGCTGCCTTCCGGTCGCATAGCCGCAAGCCTCACTTCAGGCACGAACAGCGGCGGCAGCCACGGAGCCCTTGGAAATCCTGATCAGTGTTCCATCTTATCGTCTGCTGCGTTCGTTTACTGACTGGCTGGTGTGTCCTTCGTCTCCTGGCCATGTTGATATCTATGTTCCTCGATGTTGTTTCGCTTGTCTCCCCAACAGCTACTCAGACGCTGCTATAATGATAGCTTCACTTGCTATTCGGTTCCTCGATATTGCCCATGCGGCGCTCCCTCGACGATTTTTTTTTCGTGGCTATGCTGCTAGTCCTGTTGCAGCCGTTGTTCTTCTGCTCTTAGACGCAAACCAATACCGCCTCTTCCCGACTTCTTCTTCGCTGATCACGATTGTCCTGAATGATAATGGACGACGCTTCCCAGGTAGACAAGTAACGGGCGCGTGGAGGCGACCGTTTCTGGCAACAGTAACCGAAGTAATGTAAACGTAAACGTAAACGAGACGTGGTTGAAGACAAGTTCGCTCGACTCTACGGCTTAGCCATTGCCGTCACTTGCGTCCGTACGGTAAAGGCCTTTTTCGTTCTGCGAGTGATCTTTGCGGAGGTCCGAAGGCCGAGTGGCTGGGTTGACCTTTTGGGGTGACAAACAGCCGGAAGGAGGGCAACAAATCTGTTATCGGTCAACGCCAAAAAGAAGATTCGAAGGGAACGAGCTACTATGCTGCACTTTCGATGGCTATTTCTTTGCTCCTCAGCCTCTGTTGGGAACGACAAGAAGAGAGAAGGGTGAAGATTCGGCGAGACTTGCAACGGTAGAGGAACAGCGCGGACGACGACGTCTGTAAGAAGAATGGCTCCCTTTCCCTGTGCCTGTTCGAGCCGCGTAATGTGTTCCCTTGTGGTTGTGGCGCAACAGCCACACAAGGCCGTCGATTCCCTCGGGGTGACTTGGCGAGTGTACAGAAAGGCCGTCCAGCAGCAGCCTAGAGCAAGGACACGCCTCCTTTCTGACCACACGGTAAAGATTACGAGCAGTCTGACTGAGTTACCGGAGAGTAAAAGAGAAAGAGATGCAATAACAAGACATATAGATAGTGAGGCAGTACGTACTACGGAAATCGGCGTGGTGGCGATAGGGAACAGTAACCAAAAGAGGCTCATATTTGAGTTAGGCGTTAAAGCATATTTACTCCTAGGAAATGATTTGAATAAGCTCTTCCAGGTTAGCGAGTGCCAGTACGCTAGCTTGAATCAGGTATCCTATAATATTTCTACACGGCAACAATAACTATATATATTGGAAAAACTACGGCTTTTACAAACACATAGTAAATTTCGAAGAAGCATGGAGACAGAAATCTACGTTTAATTAATCTGGGCTTAATAATGAGACATATATAAATTTAAATGTCCTTGGATGCAAACAAATAAGATAAATCCGAGCTTTAAAGAGGCGCTAGGATACGTTTTCGTGATGTATAATAATAGATCGTCCTTTATCACTGTGACTAGATTTCTCAGAAATTAGGTATGAAGCCGCATATTAGGATAAATGATGGTTAGCGAAGACCATTTCTTTAGCGCGATCCTGGGATAGAAATTCTTTAGATTTGGACGTTAGCGACCCACTAAATTTAACAACGAACATGATTATAATATAAAATTACAAATTTGAAAAGCCGTGAGATAACTTACTGCCCAAGTGCATGAATTTTATTATATAAATAGTTTCGTTTCGAGTGTTTTCAAATTTTCGCGATTAGGCCCACTTCTTAAAAAGTCAGGTGTTTTGATATTGACTAACTGTTGTACAGCAGAAAAATTGCAGTACATCACTCGCTATTGGTGCCACACCCCGACAACGAAATCCCCATCCAGCCAGATATGTGGTTCAGGTCAGACAGAATCTTGAGTGACTCTTAGTCAAAGGCCGTCTTAGGATATGTTGGGAGTGCCCGCCAAGGGAAATGCCGACCCAAAGTAACTCAGTAGCCTGTTCGTAGTGTTGGCGGTAATGGTGAAGGGGGCACTGTGCTGTCACCCTATAGAAAAAGTTTTCTTCTGGCCTTTAGGGACTTGTACGAGGCTGCACTCCATCCCGGACCTCCGAACTCGACAGCACTCAATGTCTGGTGCTCGGCGCTTAGCGGCGGCGAAGTCGCCTTCACCGCTTCGTCTGCTTCTTTCTGCCTTTACTAGAGCCGTTCCCTCAAAGGGTTTATTCGACGGGGAAACATGTACGGAAGGAGTTAAAGAGTAAGGGCAGTTGCAACCTCTTACCTGGATTAGCAAAGACGTTTCTTCTACAACGCCTGTGCTCAGTACCGTTGCTGCCGCCTTCGCTGGGGGTGCGGCTTTTAACTCCTCAAACTTCCTCTGCTTTTTTTTGCATCCGCTTCAGCGACGAAGGCCCTAAGGCTGCCAGAAAAATAACAACGACCTCCGCTTTCCATCACGCCGAATCGACCAAAACGCACACACGACGATGACGCCAGACGACGCTGGATGGTCACAGCCAACACCCGCGTGAAACGTATCAGCGCAGTCGAATTATGGGCTTTTTATGAATAAGTTATGCAAATGCTAGCTAAAGACGAAACAACAAATCACGAGAAACATCTACAATTATCCAGTGCCTAAGTGACAGAGAACTGTATAGTTAAAAAAAATTAAAATAAATTAGAAACTAAGAGATATTTGTTATACTAACAAGGTAGACTGCTCAAAAGATCTTTGAAATGGTATCATTTAGATGTAGGTCTCTGTCTATTGGGACCATAGTTACACCATAGTTAGTTAGGATTACACAGTAAGGGTCTTCGTACAATCTTTAATCGACTTCGAAGCAAACTACTTGAACTCATGAGATCTTCTGATATTCTATGTGGTATTTATAAAAAGCAAACAACATTTTACAAAGAAAACTCAATCCACGCCTCAACAGATCTTTCATTAGTGTCTAATTATAGTACTCGTATTAGGCTATTTATTATTCGTATTGGAGTTGCATTACCTCCTAGTCTTTGAAGCGTCGGTATCATATTAATACCTCCCAGAAAACGAGTTACAAGTTGCAAAGTTAAAGCACGATTACAAGGAGTTCTCATGTAGATATTTTTCGAGGTAAATGAAGTTCGATAGCGTCCACATGCCTACACACCCACTTCGTTGCACGCGGATATACGTTTGCAAGGTCCGAGAGCGGTGCACTCATGCCGCCTGTACATCGTTTTTGTTATTGCGTACGGCATAGTCTAAGTAAAAGTGAGCAGTCTTCCGGTAGCAATCCAAGTTCCGACCATTGAGGCTATTATTGCTATGCATTAGTTTGTTGCGTTTGGTTTCCATCAGAAAGATAGGAGGCAGCTTTGGGATAACTGTAGTAAGATCAAATAAAATTAACAAGTTTACGTATTGCTGGTTGCGTTCACTACATGCTCAGTTAGAACTTCGTTTGGATGGAAACTCAGACAGAATTGCCCAAATAGCTCGTCATGTGCTGTGTAACACGTACATGCCGGTAATAGCAGACAGCCATTAACAGGAAGGAGGCGAGAAATCGAGTAGATACAGGGTATCGTGCTGATTTTTCTTACGTTGTATTCGTGAAACCGCGACTATCTCGCGTCCCGCGCACCCATAACAGGAATAGCGACGGCAGAAAATTGAATGGAAACGAATACAATAAAATACAGGAATAAAAGCTTTGAATACCTTATTCTCTTTTAGTTATTCCAGGCTAAAAAATGACCCAATGTGAACCCTGTCTAATTATAGGTTCATGGGCCAACAAGATCCTCAATTGCCCATTAAATGATTCCGTCGTCAGCCCGCTTGATTACTCAAACCCCATATAGGTATTCTCTTGAATGTTCGACATACCTTATTCTCACGTACTGACGCAGATAAATGTCAGCGCAACGTAACCCTTTGACAATTCATCTTGGGCCTCATGTCTTCCTAATAGTCGCCGTAGTAGTGTGTAATCTTTTCCCTCGATGACACTGATCGGAAAATAATAAACAGAAACGTTCATTATTTTCCGATCATTCATTTGTAAAAGAAAATGGAGCAGTGGTAACTCCCTATATATAAGTTACAACTTTTGCTTAAGTGTATATATTGATCGGATAATTATTATTCTATTACATGATAAATAGACGTACGGAGCTACATGCGATATTATTTAGGTCACTGATCATTCTGGGGTAGACGGTATCTTCTGTCGGACAACTCATATAATACTCATGCTAGCGGCATCTACAGTTCTAAAGCAGGCGTATTTAGCTTTCCCGCCACAGCATCGAGTACGACACCATTCGTTGCTGCGACGCTCGTAACGATCTACTCAATTTGTAGATTAAATTTATGATAAAATATATTACGATAGATTTGATGCCAGCGAACATGGCGCTGTGTCCATCGCACGGGAGAAGCTTGGTTATGCCATCCGGAGATGCAAAATTATGAGTGATAACCGCCCGGGCCGCAATGTTCGCCGTAAATGTACCGACCTTCTGCCGTCTTTCCGTTTCAGGGTAGACCGGACAAAACCGCACGCATACTTGGGTCCATAATCGCAACGATAGAGACTCATTCATTCAACATACACCATACATCATTATGGATCCAATCGGCGCTAGACATTGGCCGTTCTAAGTTCGATGGTCGAATCCACTGAGAGATCGAGATGCCGAAACACATTGGGGATACGGTGGATAGCGGGAGAAAAAGGGGACAGGGCAAGAAAAGAACGCGTGCATCGAGTCATTGGGACGCTTCGTATGTCCCAGATGATTGATACAGCTGTTGTGACATACGAATTGGTCTAGTTGTTGAAATTTGAAGAAGTTGTCGAAATCAATGTCCTTAGAGAACGGAAGCATTGAAATCACAGCAGCATTACAGAAGCTTTGTATGATGGTGCGGATTGTTTTTATATTCGTCATTTAATTAATATATGTACTTGGGACGATGGTATATTTATCAAATTCCTAAACTATACCCTATTATAAGCGACTGTAGTGTCTAAAGAAAGCAATATGGATTTCTTGGGACATTAGGTGACCGCGGAATTGCTCCGAATTCGAAGTCGCGTCATCCGCATTACGGAAGCGTGGCTATAAATGAGGATATTCGTTATGTTCAACGTAGTTATGATAGAAGAATACTATAGAAATAAAAGTTACCATGAAAATAAAATTAATTTTTGCCAGTAGTTTCTTTCTAATGGATACGCCTCCGCCGCGCCGACTGTAAACCCATACCGTTGCAGTGCATACTAATTTAATGGGGAGCAACACTGGTGCTATAACCGTCTCTATATGTTACGCTGTATTTGCTGCTGAAGTGTGTACCTCTATCAAGAAGATGTGTGCGAAGCTCGCCCCTGTAATAAATTGTGAGCTCATGTTAGTCGTGCCTAACGACCTCGATTGTCATTAAAGGAAAGAGCTTTTCAACTCTCAGCTGATTTTATCAGAGGGCAATATGCGTACTGCACAAATTGGGTCACTTGCTTTCATCACTAATAAAGCTATGTGCATGGAAGATATTTGCCCTCTGTTTACCTTACTGTTCATCAATCATGTTATACATGCCTTCAAGACCCATGAAATAATAGCTACAAAATAATATAAGTAATTACTATATATATGCTTGTTTAGTAATTAGTTTCGTTTACTGTTCGATGTGCCGTAGACGACGTAGTTCACTTCTCGCTCTTGGTCTGAGACTGTCTCCACGTATTCCGCTGCGCACCTCCCTTGTATGTTTTTTAATTGTGTGAGCCCATACGTACGGCGCCATCTCTCCGTTTCCGTATCTCTTTCCCTGCCGGTGTGTGCGTGTCTATCTGCAAACGTTCGTTCGCAGTAGTAAACTTCCTAATGGACTCCGGCTTCCCTCTTTTCTTAGAGCCCTCTTTGGCTGCGTTCAGCTTTGGGCTAAACCACAGAATCATGACTGTTGGAAAATCTGGACTGGTCGGGACATGCTTCCGAAGCTGTCGTGTGGTTTTCCCGCGGCGCGTTTTTCTGCTTTCAGATGTAAGCGAGCGTGAGTACAAAGCGAACTACGTCGCCGTCGACCGCAGTCTCGTCTGCCGTCCGCTGCGGCAGCACTAGCGTCGACGATGACGACGGAAACTGAAATGAAATGAACACTCCTGTAGCCGCAAACGCTACCAGGATGACGGCACGCGCCAGTAGCAGTAGCACTACTACATCGCCAGGGCCAGTTCTCGTTCAGTGCGGATGAGATGCTCAGGACTTTCACGAGCTGGAGGGTCGCACTACCACAGGCTAAGATCCGCATAGCTAAGCCTGAGCAGAACGCGCGCACGCTGGCTGAATGACTGACTCAGAGACTCATAGCAAACGGTTTGCCGATGCCTGTACTGCAGTGAGCAGCAGTTATGAGCGCCCATGAGTCTGCACTTGCCCCCGTGCGGTTCCACCCCACTTTCATCCCATAACTCTGCACAACACTGCTTCCCATCCCACGCGGCCCTCGCCGACAACATTGTCAGAAAAATGGAATGTTGTGGAAAAGAAAAAGAAGAGAACAAAAAAGAGAGAAATGTAGGCAAGGATGAAAAACACTACCGTGGTGATATTCGCGCGTATGATGGACGAGTTTGTGCAAGTGAGCTAATCTGCGCCACGTAAGGCAGTGGAAATAGGACGATAGGCAGCCGAGACGAAGTACAAAGCAGGCAATAGCAGCAGCGGAAACAGCGCTACTAGAGTAGGTGCGAACAAGGGCGGAAAAAAGGCTCTCCACCTAACAGAGATTGTTGTATGAAACTTCACCTAGTTACAATGCTGTTTGTGTTACTGCAAATGATTTGAATGGAATTGTTGGGCTAGGTGTACCAGATACTGCGTACGAATCGGTTGATCCTAATCTGATTAAAGCGTCAAACAATGTCACTTTAACTAACTATAGCGTACTATCCCTCTTTTGGGCGTATCAGATATTCACAGTCCCCCACAACACTGGTCTTACTTCTGTCGCTTAGTTGTATCTGATAAAATGAATACGACGCTTCGCAGTAGAGCGCTTTGGCCGCGTTACCATCAGTATTATAGTTGACGCGTCTGTTTCCTTCTATTATGCACTATTGAATTTTCAGATATCACTATTACCATGCCCCACTTTTTCTAAAATTTATACATCGAGAAGAATACTGTTGGCTTCAAATGTCGATCGTATATGCGATCAGCGTAACGTAATTGCCCTTTGATAAATGCTACACCTTATTAGTGACTCTGAAACAGTATTCGTACTACCGTTTAACTTGATACTTGACGTTTCAAAAAGGCTTATCAGCTAGACAAGATCCATATAGACACTATAGGGCCTGTAGCTACACATAACATTAACAATTGCTAGCTAAGCCACACTTTCATACTACTATTTGTAATACTATCAAGTACGGTTCTGCTTACTGGTTAAAGTAGCGGGTCTAATAGACGCGGAAAAATATCTAGGAAATGGATTCAGTGAACTATTTTCGCTTCATAGCCTATTACAAGCAAAGGACCTTGGGCAAATATAGCATCTTCGTTGTAGAATGATCGGGTTCAGGCTAGCAGCGGCTTCTGCTACAAGTTACACTCTACACGTACATGCGTAAGTCGACTTTTGTACGCGTGGCACTCGGGTGTCCACTGTCTAAGTTAGTGGTGGCATAAAAGGCTGCTTTATATGTGATGGTGCTGCCGCCGTTGACATCTCTGCATCCGCTAGCTAAGTGGTGTTTCGGCTGGTCTTTACGAGATTCTATATAATAGCTATATAGAATAGAGTAAACAGCTATGAAGCGGGAGGGCAGTAGGGAAGAAAGAATGATGGAGACCGAGAGAACAACGTCACAGCTCCAGGCCTGTTTGCTTATTACTGGCTTGGGCTTTTATATTCCACACCAGGCGTTTAGCGCACAGCGAATGTGGGCAAGCGTGGCCAACGACCGGCATTATGGTTGTCTATGAAGTAGACAGACGATTGGGGCCTCTTCCAGCACTTAAGGCCTCAGAAGGATAAGCTCTTTCATCTTCTTCTTTCTTCTTCTCACGCCGACCGGTGAAGGCTACACGATTGTCCAGCACCCTCATCAAAAGCCCCGTGTCGATATATGCCATGCGTTTCTCATTCTGTACATAACTCGCTTAACGAGAAATACTACTCAGGTTTTACCGTTTTGGTTTACAACTAGGATGTAAGGATAGAAGTGCCTTCAATCCTAAAAGCGATATGCGTAGATGATCAAATTGTTATATATCTGAATCACATACGCATGGCTGACATATGTCATCTAATTGGAGAACATTGTGTTCTGTGAAAAGTTTCGCGTTGTTAGGCGGCCTCCATTTCAATTAGGCGTATCGGGCCCATGCGTTTTGCGTATGTCAAAGTGTTCGAGTACGTTGTCAATCCAAAACGACGCTAGCGGTGAGGTCAGGATTCTATTAAAGACGATATATGCCTGTATGCGTGTAGATATATTTGCTATGTGCATGATGGAAGGGTATTAATTATCAATAATTTAGCATCACCAGGGCGGCAAATTATACAGTGGCTTAGACGGACCCCCCGATCAATTGCCGGGCTGAACAACCAAGCGTCATGCGGTTACTTACGTTCCTTACGAAGCCCCTGATCCCAAGGCCCTTAGGAGCAGCAGCAGTGTGAGGAGTCGGCGAAACTGCTGCAACATTAACGATGCACCGCTTCTCGACGATGAGACAGTTTCCAGTCGACCTCGCTGAGGTCGGGTTATTACTAAAGCTTCGTCGTTGCGGCGAACACAGGTGCCGTTGATCGATTACTCGGTAACCTGCCGATAGGATTGTAGATGACGTGTCTGGGTAGGCCATCGGGTATTTAAAGAAGAACTTATTATATCAACTATTTTTTATCACCTCATACTACTAGCAGCAATCTCTACTTCAGCCATTTGTTTCTCACTTCAGCTCGAAATAGCGGAGGTAGCAGCTAAAATAACGACAATTTCTCACCGACAGATGAATCCCCAACTGTCGCTGCTGCTAGCTTTAGATTCTCACAAGTTAATTTTTGCTTAACTTGAGTTATTCGCAAAAAAAGTTCTACGCAGCTGGTAGGCGGTTTGCTGACAAACATTTACAATGAGGTCGTAGTTATCCACCAGTGCTAAGTTGATTTGAATCTGCTTTGTCGTCGCAGAATTGTGTTCGGGAACAAATAGGCAATAAGAGTAAGCACATTCACCATAGGATCTTTTTTTATTTTTGGCAGAGATTATCAACAAGATAAGTCACTTATGCCTAACCCTTCAACAGCTATTAAACGTATAACTTGCAAGTGGGAAAGCACTTCTTTTAACAAGAGACTGAGTTAGACTACCAGCCACTGGTAACGGCCTTTGCATATTGAAACCCACCTCTTTTATAAAAAGAAGTCGGAAGTCTTCTTAACGAATCAGATGAAATGGGTCGATCGTTTGTGTGCAGGGTAATACTTTGAACCCTCGGAGTTTGAGGGTCTCATGAGTTTAACTATCGCCACTGAGAATAGCTTGTTTGGATGGTTATTTTTTAAAGGTTAGAAACAAATAGATTTAGTGTACTTATCGCAAGAATAAAATCGAAAAGCTAGGACAAAAAAGAAAGCCAAAGAGGACTCAAGAACACTTCTCTCTGTTTTCTATCTCGTTAGTCAGACTATTAGTAATAACGATTTCGACGGCTTTACGAACTTCGTTGAGAAGGCAGAGTGACTCGTATGAATTAGTTATCACCATGACTTTTACGCTTTCGTATCTGGAGCACTTTAGCTCTCGCTGCTCTCTTTTAGAAAGAAGTTTGGTGGTTGTTTATCGGAGAGAGCAGCAAGACCTCATGTTAGCCCTATCCACGTAACTAAGTTATCGGTGCGGCCAAAATTATCAAAAAGTAAAATGAACTGAAAACAATCATTACTAACAAGGCAATAGAGGACAAATTCTTAATGGCAGCGTTACGTCCACGTTGGACATTTCGCAAAAATACTAAAGTCTAACCCAGTACCTATTCTGAGACTTGTTGATCGGGATACCACCTAGTTTATTCGCTACGGAATCTATTCAATGAATAAAGATTAAATTATTTTGTTTGTATCTACACGGACCAGTATATTGAAGGCATGAAACATGGTACACACAGTATCAACGGTAAGCATCAGAAACATGTGTTTTTAGTTAAAAAATAACACTTCATTAAAGGTATGCCAAAAAAAATGCGGCCTCGTGTGAGTCCTAGGTAAATGTCGACACGAGTCCTCCATCGCGAAAACAGACCTATACGGTTCCTCGTAGAGGACTGCTCAGAGTATATAAGTTTGGTCTAATTTAAGCTAAATGAAATACGTGTTTAGTCTTCGTATGAAGCCCTGCAGTGGAAAGGTGGGCCGTAATTCTCAACAAAAAAGACTCGAACACTTCGTTAACAGCGTATTTTTACAATTCCAGTTGACGAATATTGTTTGAAATTTTCAGAGTTCTATTTTTTTGTGAACGATATCGAAGTTTCCCGAAGGCGAAGCAGAAAAAATGTTACAATGCAAGCGGAACTAAGGAATGAATAATAAAATGCGCTAATCAAGGACAACACACCATTTTAACGATTCAAAAAAAGATTAACTGATAGAAAATAAGTTCTATAAAAAAAAAAACAACTTCCCGGAGTTTTCCAACTTGCCGTTTTCCAGTAAACATTGATGACGCTGCTAACCAAAATCGAGTGTGGGCAACAGGAAGATAATAAATGACTTGGATAAAAGCCCGTTAATTTGACGAATCTTTCGAGATCATATTTATAATTGGACAGCTATAAACTTTCATGTACCTGCACAGAAGTCAGACCCATTAGCCGCCTGGAAAGAAAGGGTAACGTCATTGTATGTGGATTCAGTAAGGACGCCGTTTAAGTTGTTCGTTCTTCCTTAGTAGCATAAAAACCGAGAACTGAGCATCCTTATATTTCCGTCTGCGACAGCACTAAGGCTATATAGGAGCAGGAGAGCCTTCTACTATCGAACCTTTTTTTGCGTGATCAACGTTGAACAAAGCGGGACTACGTGTTTCAGACTTAGCGCAACCGATTTACGTAAAGAATGCATAGATATATTTTCTCTCAGTAAAATAGTGATGAACACACCCAGCACACTGTTTCATATGTACACATGTGTCACAATAGTGAGATTAAAACGGTCCCGATAAAGTCCGATAAACTGTTGTATCCGTGTGCTATTAACGTAAATAGCATTGTAACACCAAGAAGACTTTTCAGTGGTAATAGACGTTACAGAATCCGAATGAAATTACCGCAGATGCGTTTTCATTAATTCAATGAATTTTCATGCGTGTCGAACAATTGAACGAATCAACCGGAGGCTCAGCCACACAGGTCTACGGAACAGAGGGACTTATGTTTCATGCTAAAAAAAAAAGGAACCTAGGAGGAGAACAACAAAGAACGGAGGCGGAAAGGGGTAGTCATGCCGCTCCGAACAACAAATAGCGAAGGGAATAAGCCTGTTTCAAATCATTTTGGAATAGCCGATATCATTGAAGAAGTTCTCCTTCTTGCGCTCGTTATCAGCCTAGCATTGGGGAAATACGCGTGATCTATAAAGCACTGAGCAAAAAAACGGACTGATACAGCCTAGTTGATCTGTTCAACCGGTTATTATAGATATAATAAAAGTATACGGCGTTAGTCGAATCGATGTCGTTTCAAAAAAATAAGAACTTTATAGAAACGAAGTTCCAAACTAGCGTCGGAACAGATAGTTATGCACTTGTGTGACAAGTACAAAGTACCCGCAAGGATTTCTATCTTTTTTATCGATCTATTTGTCACAGCATTACTTGACCAATATCTCTTGCTCTGTTTGAAGTCAGTTAAAACACAATCTGGTATAACAATTGAACGAATAATTTAGCATTCTGTGATTAATTAGCGGGAAAGCAGCCTAAAAAACCAATTCAAATTTGCCATCAGTTTTATAGATTAGTTGCCCTTGCAATGCGTAGTGTAAATAGATTTAAATTAGGACACTGATATTCATAACTGTTCGATAAGGCCCAGGAACTGTCTCAGTTGGGTATACAGTTGCTGTCTCTAGGCTAAGTGAGCTGCTAAGTGAGCCAAATTACCTTTATTTACGTGATGAAATGTCATTCGTGCAAGAAATCGTAAAACTTAATCGTCTGCTATAGGCTTTTTTTTTTCGATTGACTCTCACGCATCGCCCCTGTGTTGAGTTCAACAAGTCAGTATATAAAAACATCGAAGCTAAATAACTACTACGAACTAGTAATCTATAAGTTACAAAGTCCCTGCGAGCGCCGTATACACGACGAGAAGTTAAGTATCTGTACGAATGTCGAGGTCATCGAACAACTGGGTTCAGTCACTGTGTCACGGGTTTGCCGCGGGCCAAAAACGGCTAAGAATCTAACAGCACGTGCAACGTCTCAGCTGCCATGCTCATTCATGAAGCAGCTGGTAACGGCCCGTCCGTTTGACTTTGAAGTCTCCAGATCGGGCATCGCCGTCATCACCAACATCAGCACCACCGTCAACATGCTTCTTTACTATCCGTCTTCAATCGGCCTAGTAAACAAAATGCTCGTTACCAAAAAAGGAATACAAATTAGTTGGAAGTTACCTGAAGACCTGAGTTAACTCGAGACCGACGAAGGGCTATAACGTGTACACTCGCCGTTGGCCACTGTCAAGCTTTAGAAAGCTCAAAAAACGCGGCTGTTAAGGCCCCGAAGCGAATTTATTTTGCTCTATCCCCTTGCCGGCCTTGCGTTCGCTTGTTATATTTGTCGCAACATTTCGTTTTTGCCGTTAGCGTCGATAGTTTTTTTATCGTTTCCGTCGCTTTTTGCTTTTTAGCTTGTTTTGTTAAAAGCTGCGTAGAGTTTTATTTCGTGCTATGTTTACATTGCACTTTTGGAGAAAACAGCAGTGCACGGACCAACCCTCTTCGATCGCTCGCGGTAGTCTACACTTTTACATAATGTCAGCGAACGCAAACAGGCAAACGAACAATTCAACCGAGTCTATTTCGCTGTAACCTCAGATTGCAACATTCTCCTAGAAAAAAAACCAGACAAACAAGGAAGAGACACCACGCACAGTCATTCTAACGTTCCCAACAGAATGCTGCGCAGAGTGTATGCTCCAGCAGGGGCATTTGTTCATACAAGGAAAGGAAGATCCTTGTTAACAGCCGATGTAAACGGAAACCGGGAAACTCTCTGCAGAAAAACACATGCAGGCCAGCAATGTAGCAATAACGATGCCCGAAAGTGGAACGGACGCAGGTAAACTTAACTTATAATTATGAATTAAGTTGTATTAACGATTCACTTACCGTAAGCGCGTTTATCACTATTTTGCTAGTGCATGTTCACAGTAACTGAAGACTAAAGCGTAATTTCGTGGTTGTGGTTTCCGTTGGTGTTAAATTTTGATTAAACGCTTCTGTATATAATATGAGTTATCTTGTAATTGTACTGGCAAAAAAAATGAAATAAAGTTGAAAGGATTGATAAGTCCTATTAGGGTTGTCATTTTTAAGCAAATTGAGGCGGATAGGATTTTTACAAGGGACGTGCTAAGAAAATACATAACAATGTGACAAGGAGCCAATATGACTTCGTAAATACTGAATCTGCTGACTTGCTTTAGCCGTTCTTCGCGTGCTTAAGTTTAACAAGCGTCGTCGAATTGCTGCAAGGAAAATGGAGCGGGAATGACCTTTATCGCGTCGTCGATAGGACATACACTTAAGGAAATTAAGTTGGGGCAGTATTGATATTGTCAAACTGTTTTGAAAGATAATCGAAAGCAGTTCTTCTAAGTAGACCACTTTGTCTGCACAAGGTCAGCTTGAAACTTGTAACATATTTTTAGAGTACGCACATGTGACTCCAGACCCATCAGATGACTACAGCTGTGATGAATTATGCTCACTGTGCAACCTAAACCTGCAGGCGTGCTTTATCGCGTGAAGTCAACGTTGAACAGAGAAAATGCAGAAAGGTTCCGTTGGACCGGCAAGGGAAACGCCGACTCCAGCCATTGTTTTCTGAAATAGACAGATGGTTTTAGTTTAACTTTAGGTAATGCCGGTACTGCGCCCGTTACTGCTGCTCTTGTTCCTGGTACCGTTAGCGTCTCAGCATCTTAGAGAACAGCTGAACGTAGGGGTGGCTGAAGTAACTGCAGGACACTTGGCGTTCAGCAGATGCATAATTGTGCCATAATAACCTATAGAGACATAGGAAATCACACACAACGAGTTTTCACACAGTCCATTCTAACTGCTTTCGATTAGCGTAGTTGTCAAAATTAAACTGACGGTGACTTCGGCTGGTTACCTAAAGGAGTGCGCGACAAGCGGCGCTGTCTTCCCGCAACTGAAATAAGCTGCCACAGCTAGCTCGACACACCGACGAGTCGTTGTTTTGATGCAGGTCGAAAAGAAGCAGCAAACGAAGTGAGCTAAAAGGCCACTATACTCAGCATCGGGTGCTCACGAAGGCTCGAGCAGGTTGTACTGTCGAGTTACTTCGATAAAAAACAAGTCACTTCATTAGAATTGCTTATGAGAAGCCAGTAGCAGGGCGTAATCGTCCGTCGAAATCTGGAACATCATTTATGTGTGAAACTATGATAAATGCTGTATGGGGAAGTCACCTTTCAAGTTGCTCATGTATTTAATATTCGTGTAGGAGAAAGATCGTCGCAGAACATACCGTGTACTATGCTACAAGCCATAGTTGCGAGTGTGGGAATACATAGGACCTAGACGTTTTCGTTGCGCGCGGCACTAGGCTTGTTTTAAATAAAGTTGGCCTATGGAATCCCAATCATCTGGTCGCACCTCTAACCCAAGCAGCTTGGAAAACGCTTAAAGTGCGTTATGAATCCGCGCCTTTTATCGTTGAACAAATACGTGTACCTACTAGGCCATACATAGCTGTTCGTCAAGGATCTGAAACGCGAAATTAAGCTCCCCATCATGTCTGCCTATTCGGATTTCGTTAGCACATGGCAGAGAAAGATGGCGGATATCGATCCTGACTTATATTATTGCGCGAGCTATAACTAATAAAGCCTCTTAATAAATCTGAATAAATGAACTGGCACTTAGTTACACATTTTGGAGCATATGAGTTTTATCCCATCATATATAAGACAGCGGGTTTTCATTTACACAGGACTAGAGGGTTTCTGTAGAAAATGTGCTGCAATATAGCTTAGGTGAAATGTGTCATCATACGCTACAGGACTATCGTGAAGCTACCTTTCCGATCAAACGCACAAACCTTAGCATTTTCGAATCCATACATTCATGCAATACAGCACATTTCTTAAAACACGAAAAAAAAATATATATATTTTTTTATTTTATATAATATAATAATATAAGATTCCGTTTTGTGGTTCGTCGCCATTTACGAGATGGGCATAAATAACATACTTGAAGATCATCATCATCATCACCTGTCCACTAAGGATTTTATTCAGTTTGCCATTCTTGAAGCTTGTCACATCTTGTTGATATGTTCTGACCCCACAGCGGCACTTCCATCACTACTTGGGCATCTAGAAAATTGAATAATGACGTATTATAGTTTCATCAGAGGTCGTATTACTGGTTTGCTAAGCCTTACCTAGGCTGATTTAGTTCAAATTTTTGCCTCATCCGTCACTTGCCGAAAAGTTATTTTCCGAAAACAACAAGTTCTCGTGCGCTGTCCTATCAGTAGGGGGATATTAAAAGTGGCAAGGTTCCGCCGAGGTCATTTGCGATGTCTAGGAGCCATCAATAAAGTACATTATTCCCACACTACCATATTAGTCCTTTGCGATCTGCTGAAGTAGCGGGTACTCATTGGCTGTCCAGGACAGTGCATTCCTAAGTTGTCTCGTGCGACGTGCACAGAGTATGCAACAAGGCCATGGATGCACTTGCCCTATTTCTTTATTCCCCCTTATATCAGCTGCAACTCACTAGGCCGTAACAACAAGCCAGCAAAACTAATGTGTCAGGCCACAGTGATCCCTAGAGACGTCGTCAGGCCATATCTTCCTGTATATCGTAGCCTGTTTCTCTACAACCTGACTCGCCTGTCGTGCCGTACAAGTTATACCACAAGTACCACAAGGCAGAAGATGTCAACGGGTTCTCTTTTTTTTTTTAGCAAATATCTTCCTTGCAGATTTATCCGAGTTTACCTTGAACATATTGCTCATAGACATAAATAATGTAAGAAGTGTTTTTTAATGTGTCTTCGTTTTTTAACCTCATCTTAATATCTACACTTTTTTCGCACCTTAAAGGAATATTACTAAACTAAATACGCTACAGCCTTATCAATGAATTTCTGTCATTTTTTCTGGTTCCATCTTAGTAGAATTTGTATCGTGTCTATACGAAAAATTTCACATCCTTCCGTTAACACATTAATGCAAAAATTGACACAAGCGATAGATGTAGGATGAACATCATATGGCATATGCTACAAGACATTTTCTCAAAATTTTCTCAATTTTTACCTCGTAGCTAAGAATGTATGTGGTCCAACATTGTTGTTAGCAGATGGCACCTTTTCTGTTTTCCAATGGATTTTTTCAGTCGCTGGTTATAGACTTATAAACTGTTGATGACTTAATTGTTTTGCTAGGCAAAAGCAATTCAAAATGCCCGATTTTTTGCAGTCCCACCGAACGCATAGCATGACCTTTTTTTTGGTATTATTGTGGACTTTGCCACAGATTGCGGAGTATATATTTTTTTTTTATTTGCACATTATTTTTGTGTGTGATCTACATTTCATCATCCATCATCAACCGTATCCAAAATGGCTTGATTTCGTTGCTTTTTTACCAGAGTTCCACAAATAGAAGCACGGTCGTGTATATTCTCTTGAGTCAATTCGTATGCCGTCATGACAGCAAGTATTTTTTGGCCTAAAACTCTTCGGTAATAAATGTTCAGCTTCTTGGAGATATTAAGGTTATCCACGTATTGCTCTTGCGTAGCTTTATCAGTTTTTTCTGTGATTAATCGACCACTGTAAGGATCATCTTTCACATCGAAACTCCCTGAACAAAGGCCACAAAACCATTTTCGGGTCACTTTTTCCAATAACGTAGATTGAGCAGAAATCACATACACTTCTTATAGACTGAGACAGTACTTATATCCTTAAAATATAGTCAATTTAAACGGAAATTTATCTTACCTTCAATGTACTCTTAAATCTCAACAATAAAAAATTGCAGCTAACTTGGCAGTAGTAACTGCCAACTCTCAACTTTCGAATGGTACAAGCGCCGACCCAATGTTGCTCATATTACCCTAGATCTATGACTTTAAAGTCATTTACTGAACAAAACGGTCAATACTCTTTCGACAATCATATATATCTATAGTTGTTGAAAAGAAGGAATAATATTTGTACATTATATAAACAAGCCACCAGTCTTATTTGAACATACCCCATTAGTGCTTTATCGCAGGTCAGCCCACACATTGCCTACGCTGTAAACGACTAAGAGACATAAATTTCACTGTCCTCGGCTAATTTCATATAGTTTAACATTATTATCAGTTCTTCTAACAGTCGATTACTGATATACCCATATTTTCTATTGCTGGCGAGCGCCAACTGGTTGGTGCCGTCGTTGTATAGACTTACAAAATAGACGGTGAACAAGAATCCTAAGCGCGGTGATAGGTGGGTTGGTAGTTGAATGAGTGTCGGTACTGTTTGGTAAGATCGTTGTAAGGCGTAATAGAATTGGTGCTAGGCAGCTTGAGCCGGGCACGAATGTTGCACAGTTTGCAGAATGGTGGCGGCAACAGCAGGGACGGCGGAAACAAGGATAAAACCTGTCATGAGCACCACTTTGGGGTGGTGAGGCAGTGAGAAACAGCAAACTCTCCACTGCCAACTTTGCTGCTATCTATCTATTCCGTACGAGCGTATGCTGCTGTTTCCGTTAGCCAGCTGCTGGCTGGCCCGTAACAGTGCAGAACAGGCGATGGGTGGCAGCGGAATGAAACCGGCCAACTGCTGGATGCTGTTTATCGGTTAGTCTGTAGATCTACATCATTGTTCTAGGTTGATGCCTTTATTGTACCAGTCGTTGTTGCTATTCTACTAATAGTGAGGGAAGAGGCAGACTACACGGCTGGCCGACAGAAAAATGTTTGAACGGCTGCAGCTTGGGTCGCGGCCCTCTGGCTGCGGGAGCGGCAACACCTGCTAAAAAAGTACGTTCTCACTCGTCCTACAACAGGAGGTAAGAAATGATGCGAAGAACGCAGTGGTTAAGACGCGGCACGCAAAAAAAAAACTAAGCAGAGACGAAAGGTCTTCTCTTCAAAGGAAAACGTTTGTTGCCTGACGGGGCCTATGGCAATTGCTGTAAAAGCGATGACGGCAATCGGACCAAAACGAGATGGCCAAAATGTACGTTTTGTCGTATGACGATGAA